TAGGCCACCTACGTGTCTACTTTTAACATATATGCTTGTATTATTAGTTTATATTAGTTTGCCCTGTGCTAATGTTATTCATTGACTATAATAATTGTACGATGTGATTAAGCATGGTTGCTGGCTGACTACAATACTGTAACTTCTTTACATAATTCTAAATTCTGTCCAGGATATCAAAATATTCATTAATAATAAATATATCTTATAATTCACTTCATACATTGGTTAGAGTGAAACCATAGACCACACATACATTGCTACTTTAAACAAATGTGTCTTGTTTTGTATTAGTCGAAGCAGTGAAGAAAATGTGGCGGAACCTGCGAGATACTTACGTCCGCAACAAAAGAGATGGACAGGCCAGGAGTGGACAAGCTGCCATTAAAGGCGCTATACCGTTTCTGCAATGTTGGAATGTTTAGCAGCGCCCCCCAACTCGCTCAATGGCTTCTTATTTCCCCTACGCTCTCATAATACAGAGCCACCTTGTTTTATTTGCGATCTGATACATATGCTAACATTAGCATTAGCGCAACTTCTTGTAAGCTGTGCAACAATCACTGATGAAATGGCACTAAAGCAACGCACTGCTAACACAATATATAAGTAAAATAATACCGCTATGTTCGCGTCCGAATGTATTAATTTAAAACCTTAGAATATATTCTAATATTTAATTATAATTTGTTATAGAGCTACTCAAAGCAGCAGCAGCAATTCTTCCGATCATTTTTCTTGATAACAGAACTCTCAAACCAATAATGACCGAAGCCCCAATGCAACCTCTGTTTGTAATTCAGGTGTGTAAAATACTGCCATTACTCTGCAAGTACAAAACGCTATCAGCACCTGTCACTACACACTTGTCTGTGTAGAGAAGCCAACGGAGCTAGCGGAGCTAGCCACGCTCAATAAACAACTACATATCTATAAATCAACACCATTAAACGTCAATCGGACAATACAGTACACATATACATCCTTAACACACATGCACGGATGATTTCAGAATTTGCTGTTAACGTTTTCATGACAAAAATACTGTTTCAATGTGACAAAAAGCGATTGCGAAAAACCCGGAAGTTACCATGATACAACGGGTGCGTACCGATGTTCCCCGGGTCCGATGTTCCCCCACTTCTATAGGCGGGGGAACATCGGACCCGGGGAACATCGGTACTTCGCGTATTAAAAAGTCCCGATGTTCCCCGGGTCCGATGTTCCCCCGCCAATAGAAGTGGGGGAACATCGGGACTTCAACAACGAGACTAGTGCCGCTGTTCCCCGCGTGCGCGCTTTGATGTTTGATGTTTCCTCCTCCACGAAAGATGGCATATGATCCGCGCCAACTTTTGTGAGAGAAAAAATACTAACTAGCCTAAGCCTATTTACTTTTCTTTTTCCCTCTCGCTCTTTGTGTGCTCATATTTCAGCTGATCGCAGCTTGAGTCTATGCAGGATATTTTTGGGCATGTTATGGGCATGTTATCTCCCCTTGCTCACTCTCCCATGGGCATCTATATTTGACAAGTCTGACTGAATAAAATGAGGACGATTGAAACTAGAGCTACTACATCTGTTAGCCTATAGTTTTTCCAAATACGTGGTTTTGCTGAGGGCACTGTGCTTTTACGCATAATGGACACGCATATGACGTCGTTTTTGTTGTAAAACTTGAATATGCTCTTTTAGTTTTAGAGATATTAATACATATTATTCTATTCAGAATGCGTGCGTCATTGTGCATTGTTGTCCCGCCTTACGTGTCACTCACAGTTAAAATGTAAATAACCAATTCAAACATAGCATTTTTACAACTTGAACTTTAAGAAAAAAATGATCAAAGGAATCAGTGTAAAATAAGATCGGAAAAGCTCAATTCATGATTGTTTAATTAGGTTTCCCATTTTTAAATACAATTGGAAACGCTCAGAATTCAAAAATATTGAAAAGTGTATTGGCTCCTACAGTGGGGGGAATAATAATAATAATTATAATAATAATATAACCCCCTGAGCGTCATCACGTTCCTACGTTGCTTCAAATATAGTCCTGTTTATTGGCTGAACAATTTTGTCCAATATCATATCACACAGCGTGAAGCGAGAACAACCAGCTATTCCTCGTCTTAAAGATTGACAACGCTCTCAAAGCATTCACAACAGAGCAGCCTTTTTCATTTTAATTTTAAGAAAGTTCAGCGTGAACTTTGTGAGGTAGAGGAGCCAGAGGCCCGGGCCCGTAGGTCCCAGAGGAGGAGAGCGCGGTCAGGCCTGGCTCGCCTTGCACTGATGAGGTAAACTCTAGGCCTGTGTGAGACACACTGTGGGCCTCACTGTAGGCCTCACTGTGGGCCTCACTTTGGGCCTCACTGTGGGCCTCATGTATGAAACCTGCGTACGGCCAAATCAGGGTAAATGAGGCGTACGCAAAATATTACACTTTTCCGCATTTATCTATCTGGACGTGAGCGTACAATACGCAAAAAATAAACGCCAGGTCTGGAGGTGGTGTAAATCTATACGCTGAACTCAACCTTCGGCACAACACGCATGAAATTCAAGATATGTACAACAATAAACATATTCCCTCTGGCAAAATTATATGCTGTGTTTTCATTGAGGATCATGTTTCAAAATTTGAATTTGCGCATCAGAAAAAGTCTAATGGAAACACGCAAACTTCGAATAAATCACAGCTCATGAGGACCCTCTATTAAATCTGACTTGTGTGTGTATTATTTTGATCTGTATGTTTTTAAAATGTGAAGCGCTTTGTGATCCTGGACAGTGAAAGGCTCTATATAAATACACTTTACGCAACAGGGATGTGTGACCCATCTATTGCTGTGGCAGGCTCTGCGCTGCGTAATTACGCACGGCTATTTGTATTCCTCATTCACATCTGGTAAAGCAATGTGTTATTTCATTAGATTTGTGTAAGCCTCACACAGACACACACCCCAATAACGCATCGATGGTATTGCTCACTCAAACGTCTCACTGCCCTGTCCAGAGTGCGCAGCGAGTGCCGTGAGAGGTCGCGCCACATGTGCAGAAGTTTTGGCCCCAGAGTTTCTTTGTGAAATCTGGACCGCAAACGCTCTCTGAAGTGTACAGCGCTTCAATGCGCACTTCTACCCCGAGCCAGGCTGCGTCCAAGACGCTGCAGACGCTTCATTCATGAGAGCCACCGCTGCATAATATATATGAATTAATTAATTCATTCAATAAATCTATATTTATTCACTTCTACAATTCAATAAGGATTTTTCTAATGTATCAAAACATTTTGGCAAATTGCGTAAATGGAATATACACCCAAAATGTACACCTTTTTCAACGCAAGTTTCATAAATAAGCTTGTGTGTATGTGCGCGCGTGAGTGCGTGTGTGTGTGCGTTTGAACCATATTCTTTGAAACCCCAATTCCAGTTAGCCCTTGTAGTTTGCAAGCGAATTTGGCCTACTTACTAATCTGCAGGCCTACCCAAAATAGACTAGTTATGAGCGAAAGCCGCTTGTTGCTCCATTATCCGCGCGCAGCAATAACATGTCTATGAGCGAGGCCCGCAGTCGGGGAACACCGGGCCCTCCGGCGTTTGGAAGGTCCGATGTTCCCCGGGTCCGGACCCGGGGAACACCGGACCCGGGGAACATCGGACCCGGGGAACATCGGACCCGGGGAACATCGGGCCGACCCCGATACAACTAGCTAGTGCCTAGCACGTCCCGGTGAAACCTCTGGGAGCTAACTTTTTTATTTGCAGTCATTAAATACATTTCGAATTACAAGGGTTGTCTAATATTTGTTCAAATTTTTTTATTCAATTATTTTGTTCATCATTTTTTATTTTAGAATTATATTTGAATTTTGAAGTCCTGGTGTTAAGCAGCGCTGTAGAGGCTAGAGGACGCAGGCTGTTCGCTGCTCGTTCTGTGAGAGGAGGAGAAAGAGCGGCCCGCTCAGACTCTACTCAGCTCTTTTCACTGCTTGTAATTCTTACACAGCTGAATCAATTACCTCAAGTTTTCAATTAAATGATGTATTATGATACAACTTGTATGTAGTAAAAAGCATTTTTATGAACTACTTAGAAAAAAAATCGGGTATAGCTTCTTTAAGAAGAAGAAGTGGAAGTATATGGACGTAATGGCTTTCCTTCAATCTTCCACAACAAAGAGATGGTATTATCTACTGTAAAATAGAATAGCAAAGAGCAGTTCAATATACAATATAATTTCATTACACAAGTTACTTTTCACCAGGTCAGATAGTAATATTGAGATGGAGGAAGAGGAGGAGGAAGAAATTGAGGGAGAGTTCAGCACTGAAATAGTGAGGGCCAGCGATGAAGAGGGCGTTCCAGAGATGGAGAACAGCTCAGGCTCAGCTTCTTCCAGTAGCAACGGTGCCAAGCGCAAGAAGAGTAGATAGTGAAGACAGCGTTGGGAGGTACCTTCAGTGGAAAGAAGAGAGAGAGAGAAAGTGAGAGAAGAGGAGAGGGAGAGAGAGCCGCAGCATCGCCAGAGGTTGGAAGAGCAGCAGACAGATGAGGTGGCCTGTTTTCTCTCTAGCTTGGCTCCCGCTTTGAGGAGACTCACCCCACAAAAACTCTCCTATCTCAAGATCAGAATGCAGGAACTTGTACATAACGTTGCCTTTGATACCCTCTATCAGCAGGAACCAAACTTCTTTCACCTGTGATTTTTTTAATGGTTTAATTATTTATTGTAATGAATGTGTATATTTATGTAAATAATAATATTTGCACCAGTTCTTCTGATTCTCCTGCAGGGGGGTGAGTCCACAGGGGGATGGCGTCTTCTGTCCATGGTAATGTGATAGTAAAGAATTATTTATTGATTACTGTATTTTATGTTGTTTCACGATTGTACTGTTTTAAATGAATGCAAATTAAAAGAGAAACACATTGATTTGTTTTGTTCTTTTTATTTTAAATGTATAACAATGCTGATCTAGTTTTAATTACTGTTCTATAATGGATTTCCATGGAGTCCACGGCGCACACGGCTATACTGCCATGGTAGCTCGCCAGCAGGTGAGGTGAAATACTTTTTAAGGGTGTCACGAATGCCCAGAGCCTCTGCAGATGCCCGGTTTCCCCTTGGCCTCTGGAGGTCCAGCAGACAGGGGTTGTTGTTCCCTGCAGCAGCAGAGTTGTCTTCCTCACTGCCGCCCTGATGCTCCTCCTGGAGGGCTTGGTCCAATGCTCCGTGGCGCAGGTAGTTGTGCAACACACAGGTTGCTTTCACCACACTGTCCACCAGGTCAGGGCTCACCTCCATCGGTTTTTTATAAACCCTGAAGCGCTGGACCATGATCCCAAACACATTCTCTGAGATCCGGCGCGCTCTGGACAAGCGGAGGTTGAAGATGCGTTTGTCTTCTTCAAGACGCCTTCCAGGGTACGGACGGAGAAGGTACGGCTTCATGGGAAAAGCCTCGTCTGCCACGATCACATGGTTGACCTTCCCCAGTTCAGGTGCAGACGGGAGCTCCGCTGGAGGAGGAACATGCAGTGTCCCACGCTGCAGGGCTCGTCCCAGAGCAGAGTCAGCAAATATTTCCCCACCACTGTTCCCACCATAGCTCCCCACATCAATGGCGAGGAAACGGTAATCCGCGTCCACTAACGCCAGGAGGACTATAGAGAAGGTCCCTTTGTAATTATAGAAGAGGGAGCCTGAGTTTGCAGAGGCCTCAATCTGCACATGCTTCCCATCCAAGGCACCAAAGCAATTGGGAAAGTTCCATTTTTCATTGAACCTACGAAAAATTAAGTGTTTATTAATTAATTGATTAGTCCTGAGGGCATGAGTTAAGAGGATACTAAAATTAAACAAAATAAAAACACTAAACATGCTTAATTATGAACAATCCAATGCTCAAAGTAAAATAAGAATAGGCTACCTCTTTGCTGTGGTCTTCCAGGTGTCTGCTGTTGGTGTGGGCAGGTAGACTGGCTGGGATTGCCTCCAGATTTGGTCACAGGTCTCCCTCACTATCTTCCCCACAGTGGTGATGCCCAGCCTGTAGCTATTGGCGATGGTGGTAAAAGAGTCGCCTGTGCAGAGATATCTAAAATCAAAGTGTATAAAGAAAGTTATAGTTGGTGAATTTTCTAATAAAACAAAGATGTGTATGTTTGCAGCAGGGAATACATTGGATTATGGATTATTGTAATGTTATTTCAAGCAAGACCTACACTTGGCCTTGCCTCAGTGAGAACAGTGTGATGATGGGATTTATCTGATGTATTTGTGTTATCTGTGGGCCCTATAGTATAAAGTCCGTGTGTGTGTTTTCATATGTCCGCGTGTGTGTGTCTGTGTGTGCTTGTCCGTGTGTGTTCGTATGTCCGCGTGTGTTTGTCTGTGTGTGCTTGTCCGTGTGTGTTCGTATGTCCGTGTGTGTGTTCGTGTGTCCGCGTGTGTGTCTGTGTGTGCATGTCCATGTGTGTGTTTTCGTGTATCAGTGTGTATGTGTATTCGTGTGTGTGTGCGTGCTTACCTAAGACACACTGCAAGTCGCTGTTCAGGGCCAATCGGATCACGGAAATTTGTGGTCTTCTTTCTGATGTGCGGCGCAAGTGTTGTCAGCAGCGCATCAAACTGTGCTACAGACATTCTAAAGGTAGTCTTAAATCTGTCAGGATAACCACGCAGATCTGTAAAAAGGTGGTATTCTCCCCGTTCTGTCCGACTTCTGTGGATGGGGTGGACCCAGTATTGCCTTTTTCTATTATTTCTTATTTCAAGCACTGAGAGCAACACAAAATCCTCCTCACTGCTTGATGACTCCATCTTCTCTCACAGATAGCAAAATTTCGTAATGAATATAATAATAAAAACGCATCGGATGCAGTGTGCAAGGTTATTGTGCGTAACACATTTTTTCGGATGAGGCATTCAAAATACGCATCCAAAAATTTCGGACTCAGTGTGCAAGCGCCTTTAGAGCGAGAGCCAGACGAGCAGAGTTTGTGGCCCTAAAGTGTGGATTTAAACAAAATCGAAGGATTTAAGAAGAAAAAAAGTTCAGGATGACAAGGGACACTAAAATCCCCACAAAATCCGATCTTTATTAAAGCTGTAGGTTCTCTGTCAGCTGAGGTTGAGCTGTTTTAATATGCATTGAGTCCTATGGGGAAAATTTCTGGGTAGCCCACGTGAATTTAGTCTGGTTCAGTCTGCAGTACCGCGAGAATCCCCCGAGCACATGAGTTATTCAGCTACAAGCTAGTAATACCCTATCCAGTTATAATAATAGATCCATGAGAAGGGTCTCTGCGTAACCTGGCAAGAGCCAGATTGATGATTGTGTAGAACTCTAATGCGTTCTCCACAATATCAATCTGAGACTTCTGCAGGAGAATCCTTTCGGGCAGTGTTGCCAACTCCTCAGTAAGGAAAGTAGCTATTGGCTGTCCCAAAAGTTGCCAGAAGTGACGTCATCGCCTAATTTGCATAATTGGCAATTTGCAAATAACTGTAACGGACGCTGTAGGAGAGAGGAATAACGTCGTGGGAGAAACAAAAGTGAGTAAAAAACACCCTAAATATGTGTAGAACTACAAATGTACAAAAATAATTTCAACATTAACAACATTTAATGATTTTAATGCTTTGTCTAGATCTGTCGCTAGTCGCTTTTTTGAAAAAAAGTCGCTGTAGGGTCTGAAAAGTCGCTAAATCTAGCGACAAAGTGGCTAAGTTGGCAACACTGCTTTCGGGGAAAGGAGGGATAAGCAGCAGAATACTTCAAGCTGATTGGGCGAAGTGACGCTGTGTGCCCGCCTACAGAGGTTTGACTTAAACCAATCCCGGTAACATTATGTCGTCATCTCGCTGTTCATCTTTCAAAAAAGAAATTGGAGATTCTGCTAAAACTGACTTGATAGCCTCAGCTACGCATCCGTCCTCCTGCGTAGGCATGTTTGTTTTGCTTCAGCCCGGCACTTCTTGCTTTCGTCAAACCCGGATATCCCACCCTGTGTCGTTAGGCACATAGCAAAATTACCCAAGTCATTTTACATAGTTAAAATGGCAGTAATGAGGAAAAACATAATCTTTTCATGTTTTCCAAGCACAGTGGAAAATTAGTTAGGCAATTATGCAGTTACAGAAGTCACTCACCGTAGTTATTGGATGATGTTACAAGACCTTTGTGTTTCCGAGTGTGCACAAATGTCTGTTTATGTCTGCTTTCAGTTACATCCTACAATTGTCAGTGATCGAAATCGAGCTGCAATACTGAAGCAGAGGAACACGCTCATGTGTGTGACTCGGAGCTGCAGAGCTGAAGCAGAGGAACACGCTCATGTGTGTAACTCGTTTTAAACATGGAGAAGCACAGATCATCACACACATGCAAACCCATCAAAGGGCATATGCCAGTACTGTGGAGATGGTGGTGTATATACAGTATCTGTATATATCTTCTTCAACATCACTGCTACCAGACAATTACATGTTTTATTGGTTGCTTATTCCAAAGCCTGTGAAATTGTTTGACAAAAAAAAGTTGTTTCAGTTGCTTTTCTGGATTCTATCATTTGTTTCTTCAGGCATGGAGGACGGTTTGCTCATTTCACCAAAGAGGGAAAACAAATAGTCAATGGGTGTCTTTCACCCATCTTCAGACTGAAGAGGAAGAGACAGCCAAACTGAAGAGACAAATGTAAAAATGTGACATCCCAATCATTACTGAGTGATATTCATAGTGGCCTTGAACTAGGGCTGGGCGATATGGCAATAAAGTAAAATCTCAATTTTACTTCCGGCTTTGGACGATTTCGATTTTTAATCGATTTTCATTAAAGTCACCAAAGACCCTCAAAAATATTTTTTAATCTTTCTGTTCAATATTCAAGTTTCAAAACTATTTTTAATTTGTTTCCCCCAATACGTATTATATAAAAGTCTTGTACAGACTGTACTGATATTCCAAGTATAATTCTTGTGCTGCTGGAACTCTCACAATATCCTTCACAATTTTCACATTTTTCACAAATTCGATTTTTTTCAAAAGCCGATTAATTGCCTAAATTTGATTTATTGCCCAGCCCTACCTTGAACTAACACATTAGCAACTTGCATCCTTTTTCAGCAGCGCCCTTGGACAATGACCAACCAGTGCAAGGCAAAAATGACTGAAATTGTCCAGCAAACACAGTTGGTAAGTGACCGACAACATCATAAGACATTACATAAAGTGCACATGTTATGATTTTAATGTTGATACTGATGATAATGTTATGAAATAACGAATGCTAGAACATTTGTGAGTTAATGGAGGATAGTGAAAAGCCACTCCATAATTATTAAGAATAAAAAAAGTTCAAGATGACAAGGGACAACAAAATCCCCACAAAATCAGACCTTTGTGAAAGCTGTAGGTTCTCTGTCAGCTGAGGTCGAGTTGTATTAGTTTCCATTGAGTTCTATGGGGAAAATTTCTGGGTAGCCCACATGAATTTAGTCTTGTTAGTCTGCAGTACCGCGAGAATCCCCCGAGCACATGGGTCTTCCAGCTCCAAGCTAGTAATACCCTATACAAATATTATAATAGATCCATGGTCACGATGCATTTCGGCTGAGACCGAGCGTTTACAGCAAACCACAGGACGTAGCAAGGCAGCTTCCAGCGCGGGAGACGGTTAGAGGGAAGCCGGCTCAGGCAAATGTTGACGTCTCATTAGATCAGTGTCAGGAACACCACTTAAAATAGAGGCCATAGTGGCTCTGCCTAAGCCCCATCTGTTCCCCGTTGTGCAGTCCTGCGGACACGCCACTGTTTTAAGCAACAATTGATCCGTTAATAATGCCAGGACCACTGCATGACCCTCTGCAGGGGGCAACTGTACTCGTCATGCACACTGAGCGCAAACACATTAGTACAGAAGCAGGAGATGAATATTGTGGATTTACAGTGCCTTGCAAAAGTATTCGGCCCCCTTGAACCTTTCAACATTTTGCCACATTTCAGTCTTCAAATATAAAGATATAAAATTTTGATTTTTTTGTCATGAATCAACGACAAGTTGGACACAATCGTGAAGTGGAACAAAATTTATTGGATAATTTAAACTTTTTTAACAAATAAACTGAAAAGTGGGGTGTGCAATATTATTTGGCCCCTTCACATTCAGTGCAGCAAACTCAGTCCAGAAGTTCAGTGAGGATCTTTGAATGATCCAATGTTGTCCTAAATGACTGATGATGATAAATAGAATGCACCTGTGTGTAATTAAGTCTCCGTATAAATGCACCTGCTCTTTGATAGT